ACAGAAATACAGTAGTAAAAACATCATATTACCAGTGCATAAACATACATATTGGAGCTAGAAAGGTGTCTCAGTGGTTAAGATCACATACTGCTCTTTTTTTCATTTTTTGTGTTTTCTTTCATTTTTCAGATGTGTGCTTTTCTTTGTTTCCTCCATTTTTTCTTTAAATTAGAAACAAGATTGTTTGATATGTCAATCCCAGTTCCTTCCCCCTCCCCTCCTCCCCTGCCCCCCCCAACTAACACCCTACCTATCCCATACCCTTTCTGCTCCCCAGGGAGGGTGAGGCCTTCCATAGGGGTCTTCAGAATCTGTCATATTCTTTGGGATAGGGCCTAGGCTCTCCCCCATGTGTCTAGGCTGAGTGAGTATCCCTCTATGGGAAATGGGCCTCCAAAGTCCACACCTATGTAAGGGATAAAGACTAAACTACTACAGGAGGTCCCGTAGATTTCTGAGATTTCCTCACTGAAACCCATGTTCCTGGGGTCTGGATCAGTCCCATGCTGGTTTCCCAGCTATCAATCTGGGGACCAAGAGCTCCTCCTTGTTCAGGTCAGCTGTTTCTGTGGGTCTCACCAGCCTGACCTTGACCCCTTTGCTCATCACTCTTCCTTCTCTGCAACTGGATTCCAGTTCAGTTTAGTGTTTAGTTGTGGGTGTGTGCTTCTACTTCCATCAGCTAGCAATCTCATTATCAGAGGAGGGTATTTAAGGTAGCCTCTCCTCTCTTGATTAGATTGTTAGTTGGTGTCATCCTTGTAGATCTCTGGACATTTCAATATTGCCTGATTTCTCTTTAAACCTATAATGGCTCCCTGTAAGATAGTATCTTATGTTGCTCTCCTCTATTCTTCCCCCAACTCAACTTTCCTGCTCCCTCATGTCCTCCACCCCCTCCTATTCTCCCCTTCTCATTCTCCTAGCTCCCTCTCTCCCTCCCCTGTGCTCCCAATTTGCTCAGGAGATCTTGTCCCTTCCCCTTCTCTGGAGGACCATGTATGTCCTTCTTACGGTCCTCCTTGTTTCCTAGCTTCTCTGGAGGTGTGGATTATAGGTTGATAATCCTTTGCTCTAGGTCTGAAATCCATATATAAGTGAGTTCATATCATGTTTGTCTTTGGTGACTGAATTACCTTGATCAGAATGGTTTCTTCTAGTTCCATCCATTTGCCTATGAATTTAAAGATTATATTTTTTCCCATTGAGTAGTACTCCATTGTATAAATGTATCACATTTTCTTTATCCATTCTTGAGGAGCATCTAGGTTGCTTCCAGTTTCTGGCTGTTACAAATAATGCTGCTGTGAACATAGTTGAACAGTTGTCCTTGTGTAAATGTGCACCTTTTGGGGTACATGCCTAAAAGTGGAATTCCTGGATCTTGTGGTAGGCTGATTCCCATTTTCCTGAGGAAACGCCATACTGATTTAAAAATTGGCTATATTAGTTGGCACTCCCACCAGCAGTGCAGGAGTGATCCCCTTTCTCCACATCCTCTCCAGCATAAACTGTCATTGGTGTTTTTTTATTTTAGCCATTCTGACAGGAGTAAGATGGTATCTTAGACTTGTTTTGATTTACATTTCCCTTATAGCTAAAGATGTTAAACACTTTCTTATGTGTCTTTCGGCCATTTTAGATTCCTCTATTGAGAATTCTCTATTTAGTTCTGTACCCCACTTTTTAATTGGATCATATGGTGTTTTGATGACTAGCTTCTTGAGTTCTTTCTATATTTTGGAAATCAGCTCTCTGTCAGATGTAGAGTTGGCAAAGATCTTTACCCATTCTGTGGGCTGCCTTTTTGTTTTATTGACTGTGTCCTTTGCCTTACAAAAGCTTCTCAGTTTCAGGAGGTCCCATTTATTAATT